AAGACCTTCGGAATCCTGCATGCTTGAGCTAGAGTCCCAGATCTGTAATTTACTTTTTTTGGGGGGGTGGATACAGAATGAGAACATAGGAACTTATTAGATCATTAGAAGCACATTAGCTTGATGGTTCCCAGGAGTAGAACAACATTTCTGTGTTCTGCTTAAATTTCAGAAACAATGCTACGTAAGTCCCCTCCTGTTTAACTGAGATATAATTTTCCTGTACTAAAAAGTATATATATATATATATATGTATATATATATGTTTGGCAGTATCTAATACATCCACTAAGTTGTGCCATGGTCACTGCTAGTTCTCTCTCCATTGTTCTCATTCTCAAAACATACCTGTAAATAGTTACATCCCAGACCCTCCGGCTAACCACTGACCTACTTGCTACCATTGCTTTTTATGGACTTTTCATATAAGGGGGCAAATATAAAATGTGGCCTTTTATATCTGACTTCTTTCACTTGGCTTAATGTTCTCCAGGTTCATGTTAGAGCATGCATCAGTGTATTATTTTTAATTGCTGAATAATATTCCATTGTTGAATATTCCACATTCTGTTTATTTATTGATGGAGTTTTGGATTTTCACTTCTTGGTTCTTGTATATATTGTTTATATGAACATTTGTGACCAAGTGTTGATGCAAATATAGTTGGTATTTTTCTTAGTTCTCCTAAGTACCTAGGAGTAGAATTGCTGAGTATTATTGTAACCCCATACATAACTTTTCTGAGAACCTGCCAAACTTTCCTACAGTGCTTTTATCATCTTTCATTTCAATTGTCAGTGTGTGAAAGTTCCTGTTTATTTATCTATGTCCCCATCAATTCTTTTTATTTTCTATGGTCCCACTATGTTTGACTGTTTCCTCATCTAGCCCAAGTTGGCCTAGGACACTCAGTCTTCTTGTGCTGGTCTCCCCAGTGCTGGGATTAGCGATGTGTACTACCATACTCAGGCTCACAAGAGTTATATATTTTAGGAGATACATCTTTATTAGATGCATAATTCGAAAATATTTTCTGTATCATGGGCTGTTTTTTCACTTCCTTACTAGCATTCATTAAAGCACGGATGTTTCTAGTTTTTGGTAAATGCAATTTATCTGTCACACACACACACACACACAAACTATTGCCTTCTTTGAGTTCCTGAAGATTCCCCCCCTATATTTTCTTCCTAGAGATTTATAGTTTTGCCTCTCACATTTAAATCCTCAGTTCATTTTAGTTAATGTTTGCATTATGCTGTGATGTAGGAGGCGTGTAATTTTAAGTCTCAATAATCATGTGGCATTCAGTAACTTACTGTATCTGAGTCTCAACTTCCTTTGTGAAATGAGATTAGTAAACAGAACCCAAACCATAAGGTTTGGTAAAGAGCGGGAAAATATGCATATATAGTTTGAAGCATGTAACTACTCAACAAACACGGTAGTAACTATTATCATTTGCACAGGGAGTTAATGCATTCTTAGATAGGAAGATGGATGCAGCCATTCCCCTCAAGGACAGGTCTGGGATTGATAAGGGAATCTCTGCCTCTGGGTAGACTGTTACTTCAGGTTCAAGTCTGACCCACGA